ACCCAAGAAGAAATCGCGAATGTCGCATTTACTACTTCCTCCACATCTGTTCCCCAGAACTACCGAGAGGCTATGGAGCACTCAGAAGTCTGGTCGGAGCCGATGCAGAGGGAGTACGCGATGCTTGTGTGGTGGGAAACCTGGGTTCTTGTTGATCAACCCCCCGGTGTGAACGTTGTGGACTCTAAATGGGTCTACGCGCTCAAATACGACACTGAGGGTGCGATTATCAAGTGGAAAGGCTGCCTATGGTACCGGTCACCTAGCTGCCGCACCCTTGTGTTTGAAATTTTGTGATCTCAAATTTAATCCAATTTCTTATCCCTCTTGCAAATGTGCTCCGTTTGAAGATAGAAGAACAACTGCAAGAGGAATTTTCATTTACTTCAAAACTGAGCGAGCAAAAAAAAAAGTTATTCGCCAAATTGGCCACATGTGCGTAATATATTCAAAAACTGTCCGTTAAAGCTGTAAATAGGCGCAAAATGACGGTACAGAGTTTTACTAGTCGAGCCTCTGTCCCATAGTCTCAGAAACACGACGATGAGATTTGTATGTAGTTGAACTGAATGCCCGAACGAACTGCTGAGCCTCTTTCGGACCCAAGTCACTGCGATAAGCGTCCATCCACCGAATCATACGGTGTTCCCACTTGCGAATTATTGTGTGTGAGACAGAGGCAAGAGCGGCCGGCATGTTTGCTTTGAGGCCTTCGAAAGTGTAATCACAGTGATCCCGCAAGTATTTTTTTGACGGTACCCCAGAAAAACTCTATGAAGTTCAGCTCGCAGTGGTATTTTGGGCAGAATATCACCAGATGTCTGGCATCTTCAATTGTTTCAGCAACCATGGAACGTTGCGCAAGGAAGTCGGGTTGCAGTTCGAGCACCCGAGCTGCACAACAACCACGCGCGGCAGTGTGAATGCCCTTCTTGCACTCCTTAACCAATTTACTCTGTGGCCACAGGCCACGCTCCTGAAGGACAACCTTCATTCCCTTCGGCTGGCCTGGATGCTCGGGATGATCGGCAGCGAAAACCATTTTTTGGACCCGCCGAACATTCCCATCCATCCGCCATCCATCACGCATAAGGGCTTGTTTGCCACCAGGATTGAGGTTCATACGGCTGACAAGTAGAGCATCCAGTCGATACATTCAATGTCCTTGGGAGTGGTCAACCATAAGGAGCATTTGGTACCCCGGTCCATGAGCGGCTTTGAATGCAGGAATGATTTTATTCTTGAGCTGGAAATAATACAGTTATTCAAGGCTATTGAGTGAATGAAATGATGACGAGCCTGCACCATGAATTTTGTACCATCCCAGTACCCCTCATAGCTTTTTCCGTACTCCAACTCCTCCCCTGCATCTGTGATATATCCAACGGTGGAACAGATGACATCGCTACGATGCAATCCTCGGCCAACACCTTTCTTGCGAAGGGGCTGCTCACCCTCGAGCACCCAGCTTTTTGTCGGGCCGTCATTACATTGGGCGGTCATTTCATCATGGGGAGCGAGAACAAGTCGCCGGAGCACATACTTCCCGTCGTACATCTTGTCGAGCTCCACCTCGACATTGCCAACCTTGTATTCAACCAGTCGATAGCGGTGTCCTGCCATGGCGGGCAAGAAGCGGTTCTGGCGGTCGTCAACAACATCCGGACGCTCGTGCCCATCGTAATAGAGGCCCTTCTTGTGCTCTGTGTATAAGAAGCCCTCGCGTTGAAGCAAGCGACGTGCAGTGCGAAGAGAAACCCCACGGCCAACTTTGAAAGAAATGCGAGGGAAAAGCTCGACCTCCATGTATTTCTTGAGGCCTGCGGGCATCTCTTCTTCGGTAATTTTCCGCAAATATTTATCCGCGGCCGCAGGGACCATCTTCTGCTGGCTGAATTCGACAAGCTTCTCTGGATCCATCGCCCACTTCTCGCTCCGAACATACGAGCGGAGCTCAGCATGGATTATGGGGTCATCGTAAAGTGAGTATGACTTGCCGTGTTTCCCGATCTTCGACTCAGGGATGACACGATCTGATATCCAATTCCGCGTCCATTTGCGAACCATGCGCCCACCCCATTTCGTTGCAAATCCCTGCGCCTCGGCAGCGGCTTCGGACGCCAGCTTCCACAGCTTTTGATTCTTCACCACCATGCAAAGATGGCTTTGAATGGAGCGCGCACGGTATGACTGCAGGCTGGCATTTCCAGCATGGAAAACAGTTTTCTTTGATGCGATGACCTTGTCAATTGCGGTAAGTGCCGACGCGAGGATGTTTGCACGAGCGGCGGCTGCCTGAGCTGTATGAATGCGACGATGTTCCGCTTGAGGAACCGCAAATTTGGTCCGTCTGAGAGGGGGAACTGGTTGGACCCGGTGGTAACTTGGCTCTTCCGCAGAGCCAGTGGATGGCGGGGATGTAAGCGTCTCTGCATCCTGAACAGGGATACTTTCATCTGTATTGCCCACACCAGGCGCTTCACCGGGATCCTCTTTCCCGCTGTCCCCCGACTCTCCAGAGCAAATGTCCGAAATGTAGCCTGTGAAGATTTCACCCGCAGGAGCTGACACGGCTGTCGCATTGATCTGAGGCGCAGGCGACACGATTTCACGAACAGGGAGACTCGTGTGAGCTGGTGTGGTCGCTGGTACAGCACTGTCTGGCACCGAAACAACAGGGGTGTTCGATATGACGGTCCGAGGCAGGACAACAAACATCTTTTTGAAAGCAGCGGCGGAGGCACTTGAAGATGATCAGAAATTGTGAGGTTGGGCCGTGAAGTACTGATACCTATCTCTGGAAATCATATCCAGTTCCTCCTTATCCCGCAATTTCTTGTCCTTTCTCCGCTGCGTCCGCTCAGAGCCACCAGTGTAAGGGTCATTCAGCTTCTTTTCTGCCGCTTTCCAGTCTTTTTTTGACTTGTATTCGATGATGGCCTCGTAAGCAGTTGCGATGGAAGCATCATCGTTGTTGCCAGCAAGTGCGAAACTCCTTAATAAATTCTGGCCCACCAGATCCTCGTCAGATTCACTGGACTCGTCGTCCGAAGGGAGAGGTCCATCTTCGCACTGCCATTCTGTGTCGCTTCCAGGATCGGGGACACCGTGGTGTATAAATGGCTCAAAGAATTGAGGGACTTTGTCGCCCTCTGTGCCATCCCAATGACAGTTGTCAGATTCCGATGAATCTGGGTCCGAGGAGCTGACAATCGTGGCCTGGCGGGCTGCACGAGCAAGGGCAGCCTGGGCTTTCAGGTAAGCAGGCACCATGAGGGTTCGGAGCGACGGATTCGTGGAGTTTACGAGTGTCGGTGACGCGTCTCTTGAAAAAAATGTTGTGTATGCGCGTATGTACGTGACACATGATTTACGTTAGAGATCAAAGTCTCAGTTTGGGCTGATTTCGCTTCTCGAAGCTTCAATAATTTGTTTCGAGCGCACAAGTGAATAAAGTAACCTAAAAATTGCTTCAGAGGTACACTTTATTTATTTATTTTTTCTCAGACCAAATTGGCCACTAATTTTTGGTAGCGGCAGCTAGGTGACCGGCACCATAGTGTTGAGAAGATCTCCATGATGGAATGACATAACCCTAACTAACTTTTCCAAAAAGGAAACACTGAAACTGCAGAGGCCATTCAGTCCCCCCATGGCCTACTGGAACTCTCGGACAATGACGCCATTCCTCAGTCAATCACCACCGACCTTGCAATATTGTGACCCTCGGATACTTATGTTTGAACCAGACCCTCCTGAGGCAGGGTTTGCTCAGCCATCATCTTCGTGCATTCCCGCCTACCGCCATCCGGACTATATTCCTAGTCAGTTTTTGTGGAGAGAAGTAGCAGCTGATTTCCAAAACAGGTTAGTAATTCTTCGCCAGCATTGAATCTGTGCTTAATATTTTGAACAGATACAATGCAATGTTGCCAATGTACATCTCGAGACACCTGAAGCATGCTTATATTGATCAATTATGCCCCCCAATGGTTGATCCAATCCGCAACGAACCACCGTGCAAGCGGGTTCAAAAGCATGAGATCGTGTGCACATGCCGACATTGTCAAAGCTCCAACTGTCCAGGGTCGGGTGGAATACTCAACTGTCGAGTCATCTGTACAGTACCATGCAAACACCGTGGGAACTTCACGGGGTGTCTGGGAGTCGACAAGGGGAAAAAATGTACTTAGGATAAGGATAAGCTGAAGAAGAGTGCTTGGGATGTGCCGGAATAATGTATCTGTTGAGTACTTGGGAGTTTCTACGATCTTCTTTCAATCTTTCCTTTTTGGGATTCTTTTTCGCGTTTTTCCTCGTCCGAGGACCCAGTGGAACAATCGGAGAACCGCTTGAATATCAAACTGTGGAGCAAAGGCTAATCATGAAGTCCTCCACTTGACACAGAACAGAGGAGAATTGACACAAAAAGGCACAGTCCATAAAATAATGCCATGATAAGGAATTGAAGACTTGATGGGATGTCAGTAGCAAGGTGACATCCAGCTGCTCCAAGCAGGGCATATTAGGTTGAATGCAGGGAAGGGACACATCGTCTTTGTGCGGACAGGTTTGGCACCAAGGAATTTCAACTCATTTCCTAAGTCGGCCTTGCCGGTACCAAATTTGCTTTACCCTGGACCTTAGCCCCAAACCCGCCCAACAGCTCGAAATGACCAGCTAACTGATTTCCGATGACTGAATGATGTACTAACTTTTCCAAGAAGCTAAATAAAAAACTTCACTGAAAAAAAACCCGAGATTCTTAGGGCGACAGTAGCTGGCAAATTTTTTGTCATGTGCATTGGCTCTTAGCCTCATTTCTCTCATATTCCGGCACCGAGACCAGATAATACACTGGCGACAAAATGGGAACACAGAGGGGAATCGAGTGCAGGAGGGGCGAGAAAACAACTGCAACCTGGTGTGGGACTGGTACAGAGATGTTGATGGATCAGCACAAGAACCCTGCAAAAAATTCTCCAGCGAGGAGTTGGAATTTCCAGTACGGGGAATCGAGCCCCAGGCTAGTGCGTGAGAGGCACCAATTTTACCGCTACACCATACTGGACATGTTCGATTGTGACGGCTGAATCTTCCAGTCTAAATTCCTTCTTTATTTTCTGTACCAGGTTCTGAAATTGCTGAGTCAATCAAAAAGTGGTCATAAAAATGTGATGTTTGAATTGTAGAAAGACTCGGGGCTCAATGGTGTGTTGGGGAAGCGACATCGGTGGTGTCTCTACAAGAAGCCTATGAAACAATGGGCAGTCATGACAGGAAGAAGCCATGTCACATTTGACGCCACGTGACACGGGCACTGGAATGACCTGAAACGCCAAATCTCAGCTCGACTTTAGTAGCACAGAAACTCATGGGTTTTTTGCCGCCAAGTCCAAATCTAAATCTCAGCTCGAGTCGGTATTTTTTTGCCGTTCGTTGCCCAGTGGCGAAGAAACTCTGGATTTTTTCTAAGTCTAAATTCCAGCTCGACTTAGTACTTTTTTGCGAAAATCAGAAGGGAGACAAACCCTAGCCCGACCCAGGCACCGCTCCGTGGGAGATACTCGGTGCTGGATTGTCAGTACCCAGCCACCACTTCGCGGAAAATACTGGGTCTTGGCGGTGACAACCCACTGCTCTGCAGAAAGTACTAGGTCTTTGGTGGGGACTACCACCTACTACTCCGTGAAATGGACTGATATTACCGCTGCACCATGCTGGACATGTTTAGCACTTGATGTGATGGCATCCTGACGGAGGGCAGGTTGTCTGCCAATCGCAGTTCCTTGCAAGTTCGGATGCGGCATCTTTGAAGTGACATTTGCTACATTCTGAAGCAAGCTGTCGCGTTCAGAAAGATTCGAGTTGCTGGAGGAAGATACACGACACGGTACATATTCAAAGTGAATTGCTTCGAAGCCAATGCCGACTCGCATCCCATCCACAAGTGGAGGTAAGAAGAGTATATATTGTCATCCTTCACCGGAGTTACTGGCTGGTGGTACAAATCTAGGAGTATTCGAAACGGAGCTGGGGCAAGGGGGGAGGGAGTAAGAAGGGGTAATGAACGAGGGAGGAGGCAGCAAGGGAGCGAGGAAGCGAGGGAGAGAAATAGATGAAGGTGGCTGGGGCCGGCACGAGAGCCCCGTGCGAGCAATCTTAGGTCCAGGGTTTGCGTGCGATGCAGCCGCGGATCCAGTGCGAGTGGTCCGGGTGGTAGATGTCATAAATCACCCGGGTTCTACTTTTTTCGCGCGATGCGTCTGTATGGATACAGACGTGTCTTAGCGGCACGGGACTCTCATGACGCCACCACATGACCTTCTCATGGTTGAAACCCAGCCTCGGATTCTAAAAGCCGCAGACTTGGGGAGTCTGCACCACGGGATACAGAAGATGTTAGGGACTAGGAACCCATACCAAGAGACCCTAGTCCCCGGAGGCACCACGGATGACACAGAAGTGTACACAAAGTACATGAGTGGTTGCAAACCGATCAGGGTTTGAACCACTGGATACAATGACACTCAGGACTAGGAAACCCAGATGTTGGGTCTCCTAGGTTCTCCGACGCCACGGAAACCAACACAGAGGAGTACAGGAGTATCAGCATTAACACTCCTTAATGCTGCGGTACAGGAACTGATCGCGATTGACTGCGATCGTTTTAATTTATTAGAAGCCTATATAAGCATGGTAGAATCTCCCTGTACTTATAGTAGATTCTACCTCGTCTAATCTCAGGCTTCTACCTTGGCTTGACATAGGCATTGTCTCCACCCTGCCCTGCTTCCTCCACATCGTACTACGGGTTATATCCGTGCCCCGGGTTGTATACCTGAGTGGATATCACACCCTCTTCAACTCATTCCGGGTTCCACCTCGCATCCCGACCTATGACATACGGCCTCCTAGGGAGGATGCCGTACGACTGGTCCTACTGCTCAGGGAACACACAAGCTACTAGTGTCTTCAGGTTTATCCTGGTTGGGGTTCTTGTCGGGTTACTCATTGTTTAGCCGACCCAGAGGCCGTTGCTGACAGTAGACAATGTCTGCTGCGAGCACAACATCAAACAGCGTCGAAAGGTACGCCGGGCACGGGGCGTGCCCAGTTGAGCTCTACTGCGGAGATGCGCACACCGCTCTGGTTGGGCACGTAGAAGTTTGTGTGCAGGTTGACTGCGAGGTTCGCGAGGAGAGGGATGAGCTTTGAAACGGCGATACTTAGCAAGCCCGTCCCTGCGCCGAGCTCAAGGACACATAAGGGCCAAGAGGTTGAAGGACACAGGGTCTGTACAGAGACATTCTACAAGAATGATCGCGCTGCCCCAGCTCTGTAGCCCAACAGAGGTGTGGTCAGAGGTTGACAGCCGTGCATCGTTCAACTCGATATGAACAGTCTTTCTGCTCAAGGGAAACGAGAAAGACCCGGTAATGTCGAAGTCCTCGTCCTCTTCTTGATGCGAGAATTTAGCGAGGAGGGTAGCCTTGTCGAGCAGACTCTCGTGTGCTTCATCCGAGTCGGTGGTTGGGTTATCCACGGACAGGGTATCAATCTGACCAACTAAGCCCGCTAACCAGCTTATCGCGAATGTGCATTCCAAAGGGTCGGCGCGAAGCTCGTCAAGAAAGCGCGATGAATCCGATTCGACGCCCTCCTCGATGTCACCTTCATCATCCGAGACAACAGCAGACATGTATCTCGAGTCGGAAATTTTTTGATCGTTGTAGATGTGTGCTATCCTCGGTCGAGTGAGTCGGTGACGGCCTCGGCATGGGCTGAGCAGTGGAACCGTGCGAGTATTGGAGTGAGAGTCAATGTGGAAGCCGGAGAGAACCACAGAGGAAAGCAAGAGGAAAGAGTACCTGCGACACACCTGCCCACCCAGTGTATCCATCTACCCGCCTTCTCTCCATAGCTTCGTCCATAGCTTCGGAGCGAGTGGGCGGGACTCGAGTCACCTGTGCTTGAAGGTGGGAAGAAAGAGACACACAAGCACCAAACAAATGCCGCCATATGTAGGTGGGATCGTCGCTTGGATTCCGCAATCTATCTGCAAATGATTTTAAAACGCGGTGTGTGCTCAGTCGGCTTTCACTAGCTGGGCACAGCCACACACCGGGGATCCGGCGTGTCATCGAGGGACTAACAAGACAGAATGACGGAACCTAACTAACTTTCTCAAAAAGCAAAGTGCGATTGTGTGGAGGAAAATTCGAGTTGATGGATTGACTGGTTACTCGTCTTTGTGATCGTGACAAGGAGATACGAATGGAATACAGATGGACGATGTGAGTTGATGCGGTGGAGGTTGGGCGTGTGAATATGTTGCAGTCAAGAATTAATTGCGGCTCGATTGGGTGGCAGGATGACTACAGTTGTGCGGTTGAATCGAGTGATAGATGGCGGAATGACTGCAGTTGTGACTTGTGTGCAAGTGATAGGTGGCGGCCGACGTAAAACGATGACGAAACTAACGAGAGACATATGATGTAAACCTAACTAATGCAATCGTGTAGGGGCGGATATATTGCAAAATTTCCCGAGAGGCGGCAATGTTAACCCCTACACCAATTCGGAGATATAAGAATACAGAGGGATAATAAGCAGGTACAAAGGGTCGTGTTATATTGGAATTCATGATTGATTGGGGGTTATATTTATCGCATGAACCACAACCTGCTTTACGAGTTTACCAAAGACAAACAAGTAGGTAATGTAAGGTGTTACAACACTGCCGGATGCCAACAATCCTTGAATCAGACTCTCTACTTGGATTCGGCTTGAAACGAATTTTCTTCCTGCCTGCAGACACATTTTTTTTGACAGCAATCCCTCAATTAACCCAAAGGCTCAGATGGATACTAGAAGAGGTCTGTTGGTACAGTGCACAGCACCACCATGAGTTACGACAGTATGTGCCATTAGGTGGGTTCAACTCCCCGGATTGTTAGCTCCCCATTGAACAACCTTTTCATTCAGAGCACAAAACAGTGTTGGAAAGGGTCTGTAGGTTGTTGTCCACCACCAATAAGGGGCCTGGTAAACTGCCAATGTTCGGTGTGGGTTCAAGTCCCTCCAGAACTGTGTGTGGTGCGACCAATTATGTTTTTAGTTTGCACTTCACTCCTGATTCTTTGACAATATTCAGGTGAGAATTCAACGGATCTTCTCCAAGCCGTGATGCACAGAGGATGGTGTGTGTGCGATCCTCTATGTCGAATCGGATCAGACAATCAAACAATTGAGGTATGAGATCAGTTTTGTTTGAAGTGTCTGTCTCCGAGGGAAGAGTTGAAAGCGTGATGAATTCCCACGGTTCCATTTCACCCAACAGAAATCCCTTGCATCATTCATATTTGATTGACTGCAAACAATCATCAACACTGGTTGAAATCTGAAGGTGCCCAAAGGACTTACGCGAACAGTAGCATTTGCATTTCAACTTGAACAGTTAATACAACACAAGTGTCTATCTGTGAATCCACCCCAACAAATAATCTGCGTGGAAGGCTGAATGTATTCTTTGCCATTTTGGGTTGTGTATTTCCTATTCGCTGTTCAATGCACTGCATCTGCACTCTGGATTCTTCCATGAAATCTGGACCCTGCACTGATGGGAATGATAGGAGGACCATCACATGGATCCACAAGATATTTGTGTCAAGTTTATGAACTGGTGGAATTGGTCCCAGGTTTCAGGTTCTTTGGCCCTGAGCGACCGTCTCACACTCCTTCTTTCGTCTCTTCGCCCACTTCCTGACGAAAAATAAGTTAGCACAGCAAAACACAGGCTATCCTCACTCAAGCATCTAAATTGAACACGGGAACGGCATAGAATTCCGCCAAGACCTCAAAAGCAGCACCGGACTTAGAGATTGAGAAGGGCTTTGACCAGCAACATGGAGGTAATAGCCTCGCAATGTTTTCTGAGCTTCACCTATCACAAAAAAAGTCACTTAGTCTGGTCGTTTGAACTTGTGGATTCACGACGGCCATGCAGTGTAGAGCTTGTTGAACAAGTCCAATTCACCCATTAGACAGGTTGCGCAAAAGCCGCATGAG